CAGTTAAAATGCAAATAGAGTTTGGGATTCAATTACACCATCTTTTTACTGTTCTCCCCGAGCGCTTCCAAGGTTCAAAGATGACCTGCACAGCAGGCAGAATGCCCCAGCTGCCAATCAGAAACACGGATGTGATCACATGTCATGGAACTACATTTCCCATAAGGCAGTCTCTGCCTACATTTCCCAGGAGGTAGTTTCTTAAAGGAGACAGCTCTTAATTCCTACACTATTTACTGTATATACTGCTGGGGCAGCACAGTTTGCCTGGCTCATGGTTTTTTGTGTTGCCTTCTTTAAAGGAAACGTGGTGGGCAGAATAGAGGAGCGTGGCTTTGCTCGATTTTCTTCGTCCTTCCTGTTTCCAGATAAGCGGCATCACAAATTGCGGTTGGAGTCACAGGTAGGGAAACCTAAAGCTATGCTTTCTGCTCACGAACGGTGCCCCAATAGTTCCTCTCGTTTTCTAGAATAAGCTTCTATTCCTGTGTGGCTGGGGAGAGAATGAGAGAGCACGAGGTGGAAAGTGATTAAAGAGAAACATTCAGCACCTGTTCAAGAAAACAAGCATTTAGGTACATATCAGAGAGAATTCTTCCTCACTGGTGCTTGGTCCACCTTATATGGATTACTGTGTTTAAAAAGCTGAACAACCACTAGATGGCAGCATAGAGATACAGAAAATATTCTTTGCCAGTTTATAGTAGTCATCCGGAAGTTTCAGAGTAGATGTGGCAGATACAGATGCCTGGAATAAATAACCTAACAAAATCCACATAAGGTATAATTGGCCGAATGTTGCCTAATATCTTCATGCAAACCCAACCATTGTAATTTGTGGGTAGGGAGCCAATTTGGTCTGGTGGCTAAGGTACTAGTTTAGAAACTAGTAGGCATGAAAGCCTACTCAAAACCTGAACAATAGGAAGACAATATGTGGTTAGTTCTAGTTGAAGGTATCTCTTATGACTTATACAGCTGAATTTTTTCAGAATAGTGGTGCTCTCAAATATATTTCTAGACAAATTGTAATAGGAAGAAGAAAAAATAATTGAAATTATATTCCTCATACATAATTCCTGAGAAGTGTGTAGTAAAAATATCTAGTCTATCAGTGGGCTTGCATGTCATTTATTGTAGTTGTTAATATAAGAGGGGAGAGGTTGTTGCTTATTGGAAAAATACATTTCATATATAGAATAGAATTCTTTATTAGTCAAGTGCGATCCGACAATAAGGAATTTGTCTCCAGTACATAAGCTTTCCGTGTACGTACAACAATAGTGATAGATTATTATCATAGTCATTGTAAAAGTAATTGTAAAAATAGATCATAAAACATTAGATACAACACTTAGTGATAGTCATGGATACTAAATAAGCAATCAACATAAATCACATCAGGGTACTAATTGATTTAAATCATAAGATACAAGCAACAAGTTAGAGTCATAAGAAGATAAGGTGATAGAGAATAGGGAAGATGAGAATAATGATGGTAAAACTATCTAGATAGTTTGATAGTGTTGTGGGAATTAGTTGTTTAGCAGAGTGATGGCATGTGGAGGGGGGGGGAATTGTCCTTGTGTCTAGTTGTTCTGACATGCAGTGCCCTATAGCATTGTTTTGCAGGTAGAAATTGAAACTGTTTATGTCCAGGATGTGAGGGGTCTGTAAATATTTTCACAGCCCCCTTTTTGGTTCGTGCAGTATATAGGTTCTCAATGGAAGGCAGATTGGTAGCAATTGTTTTTTTCTGCAGTTCTAATTATCCGTTGAAGTCTTTTGTTTGTCTTAATTGGTTGCAGTGCCAATCTAGACAGTTATGGAGGTGCAGATGACAGACTCAATAATTCCTCTGTAGAACTGTATCAACAGCTCCTTGGGCAACCTGAGCTTCGTGAGTTGGCTCAGGAAGAACATTCTTTGTTGTGCTTTTTTGATTATGTATTTGATGTTAGATATCCATTTTAAGCCTTGAGATGTTATAGAACCTAGAAACTCCAGTTTTGAAAATATGGGTAAAAAACAAGATTTTTAACTAAAAAGATATTTTTTTTAAAAAAAATAGAATAATTGGACAATGTCTTTTGTTTGGCAGTTCTAGAAAATCCTAAGTATCCTTAAAAAGAGCCAAAACAGTGAACAGAAAATGGTGGTAATGTAAATAACAGGCTTTCAACTCTATGACAAACAGCATGAAAATTATCATTAATTTTAATATTTCATATTGTATATCTTACATTGAATGTTTACTATTTCATGCTCTGTATCTTTGCATTGAATATTTGGTAATATTTTTTCCAAAATTATATCTCTAACAGGAATGTTTTTTTGAAGAAATTTTTTTTTAACAAATAAAGTTTAAGTAATGAATGATAGATGTGACCCATTCTCTTTTGAATGTTACATTTCTTTACATGCTTGTTGCAGATAATAGGATTTTATACCATACATTTTGTGTGCTTATGTTTATTTGTCTTGATTTTAGCTCTTATTATCCAGTTTATTTTGAAGATTGACTTTGCTACTTGGTGCATTAAGCATGAATTATTCACGATTCATTACTGCAGTAAGTGCAGCAAGGAAAGCATCTCCAATAAGAGTCCTCAGTAAGTATATATTTTGCAATTAATTCTTCAGACTTTCCTCAAATTCTAGTTAGGGATTGTCATAGACATGATTATTAAGAAAACATGATATATGGAGATGGATACTTCTGGGATTTCTAAACTGTTGTGATCCCCCCCCCCCAAAAAAAATAGCTGACCCAAGAGAACTTCCCATTCAGAAGAAAGAATGCTATGGTATCTTTGGCCACTTATTTCCAAGAAGACAAATGGGGGGATAACAATGCTCAGAAATTACATAGGAAACAATTATTTGAGCTTCAAGTCTTCTTGGAGTTTTTTGTTCCAAAATTTGTTTCATATAAAGTGCAGAGATTCATTATTTCTGAAAATGTGTCATGGAAGATGGTACTTTGCACAATATCAGCTTTCTAGATAAATTAGTAAATAAATATTTTTTTTAAATTCTTTCAAAAATCCACAAAAAAATCAGGAGGATGCTAATGTACTGCATCCAGGCAAACTTCATAATCTCCCAGAAGCCTGGCTGACATACAATCAATTCCATCAGATAATGAATGAAGGCCTGGATCACAAACGGTTGATCTCGTGATCTTCCAGTCACCCAAATGAGAGTGGGGCCAGCCAAAACTGTTGTAACATTCCTCTTCTGATATGTTTCAACAATGTTCACAAAATCATTCATTTAGTGCAGAAAACTAGGCAGCTATTTTAAAAAATGTCCACACAGGCTACCAGATTTGGCAAAAAACTAGATGACACCTAAGGGACAACAAAGCTTTGGGGGATTTTGTTGCGATTTCATAATAGTCTATATTTTTGCAACTCAGACAGGTAGTACTAATCATATCAGGTATGATTTTAAGTTTTGTTTTTGTGTATTCTTTTACTCTAGCTGAATTGATGCAGCAATCTCCCACATCATTAATTTCTCTGGCTGGAGGAGCACCAAATTCCAACACATTTCCTTTCAAAAGTGCTACCATTATCATTAAAGATGAAACAAGAGTTGAAATCAAGGAAGAGCTGATGAGGAGAGCTCTCCAGTATTCTGCTTCAGCGGGGTATTTTAATGGAAATAAAAGTGGTGATTTTGAAACCACAAACTCCATAAAAAAACCTTCCAAATGTGGGGGCAGGAGAAATAGTCTCCTTTATCTACTGCAGAGCTTTCTTTCCATTGTTGACCTCCCTGAAAATGTTTAGTGTAGGTAAGATAAGGAAATAGGGCAAGAATGGATACTTTACTTATCCAGAAAGCAGCAGATTGTCTTGACAAAACTGCATTCTCTTGGAGTAACAGGTCTACAACTTGGGGAATCCTTTTAAACCAAAGTGGAAAATGTAGCTATGGCGGGTCTTTGTCCAGCATAAGCTAGTGCACCAGTTGCAGATGCCTTTAGAATGGGAGATTTTAATGATAATCATTATAATTAGAATAGTCTATTTCATCAAATGTGATTAGACACACAAGCAATTTGTCTCCAGTGCAGAAGCTCTGTGTACATGCAAAGCAACAGAATAATAGTAATCATCATAATACCAATAAGAGGGTGTAGTAAAAAATATAAGGAGAATAATAATGCTACAGCCATACAACATGGGTAAATGTACATAGACATTAGATAGTACTGTGAGAATTAGATGTTCAGCAGAGTGATTGCACAAGGGAAGAAACTGTCCCTGTGTCTAGTTTGACATTGTTCCGACCACTCGATATAGAGATATTCTATGGAAGGCAGGCTGGCTGCAATTGTTCTTTATGCAGTAATAAATATATGCTTGTGTTTGGTTGCTATATCAAACCAGACAAGTATAAAAGTACAAATGACAACTCAATTATTTCTCTGTAAAAATGTATCAACAGCTCCTAGAGCAGTCTGAATTTCCTGGGCTAACACAGGAAGACCATTCTTTGTTGTGGTTTTTTTAATAATGGTTCTAATGGTAGGTGTCTATTTCAAATCCTGGGAGATTATAGAACCCCCAAACCTGAAGGATTCTGCTGTTGATACTGTGCTATTGAATATAGTAAGAGGTGGTAGAATAAGAGGGCACCTCCTAAAGTACAGTCTCATCTCATTTATTCTCTTGTCAATTCAAACATGAACAGTTGAAACCTACTCTGATTGAATTTGCTCTTGAAGACAACTCAGGTGATACAAATGCAATGGCCTATATGGTAGCAGGTGAAAATCAGTATGGCAGAGCTACACCAATATTACAGAAGTTGCATTAGTGTGAGAATTACTTAGGTTCAGGGTATATGTAGGGCATTCTACGCATGCTATTTGATCTGTTCTGAAGGCGATGCTCCAGCTTCTTCCTGAGCAAATCAGGGTAGAATGGCTCCAAAGAGCTTAAAGACTTTTTAAATTTGTCCCCATAGAACATTCTCCTGAAATCCATAGTGCCCCTGTAGACTCATTTTTCAAAGAGCAACTAAGACTTGATTCTTTCAAGGAACATTTGGAAATTAAGAGATGCATTGTTGGATTGGATTGGATTGTTTTTAGCCATCAGACTTTTACTGTCACTAAATAGTGATAATGAAGGTAATGGTAATGACAACTGCAAGGGTAAGTCTAAGCTAGGATGTATTTTAAGTAAACAGCAAAAGCTGGTGTGATAGAACAGAATGTTTAACCAAGATCTAAAGGAAAGTATTTGTTCAGATTAGTGACTACATAATAAAAGAATTAAAAGGTAGATTAGATATGTCTAAGAAATGCAAAAAGAATGAAAATCTTACGAAGAAATGCATAATACACCTTACTAATGTAGTCATGTTTAGCATTCCAGAACTGTTGTCCTGGTTGAAGGATATGCAGAAGACTATTCATAACCCTCCAACGGTTGACTACAGTCCTAAGGAAGGACAAATGGAAATGTGTATCACTACTGGAAGCCAAGAAGGGCTATGTAAAGTAAGAAAAATGAACTATAATGTACAGTGAGTACAGTGAGCATAATTATATAACTTCTGTGAATCTTTAAAAAGTTGCAATGGCCTTGGCTTTCAAATATGTAGGATTTGTAGGGATTATACAACACATCAAATTGCTTATCCTTGCAGCTGGGTTGTCTTTAGTTCCAGATTATCCTATTTTCTTCTTCCTATTACAGGTATCACTAGTATTTACTACAAACTTTACAAACATATCTCTGTTTAATCTCTTCCTTCTCAGCTCACATATTAATGAATGCAGTAGTAAGAAGCGATACTTAGGTAAAGCAGTTGTCGATCCTACTTATTTCAATGAGATCTTCCCTTAGAGAGAGGTGCCTTTTCACAAACTTGTGCAGAAGATAAAAGTTTATTACATGTAATCCCATAAAAAAATTAAAATATGAAGTAAGCAGTTGTATAGATAAACTATGAAGCCATTTACCAGATATATTTACATTGTTAAAGAACCAAAAATGAATTGCAATGGAACAATGTTTTAAAATTCTTTAACTTTGGTATGTGCATAATTGGTTTTGGTTTTTAAACAATTTACTACAATAAACAGTTTTCTTTCCTCTTTATGCTTCTCCTTCCCCTTTTATTATGTATTACCCGTATTTTCACCCATATAACCCGCGGGTTATATGCGTTTTTTACATACACGGCACGCCCTCGCGGGGTATAAAAGTGGGCGGGGTATACGAAAAAATATTTTACACAGACTAACTACCGGTAAAGGGAGAGCTTGGAACCACCACTTCCCTTGCGGCAGATCTCAGCAGTTTCCCTTCTCCCTTACTCGTCGCGGGTTATATAAGTGGGCGGGGTATACGGAAAACATTTTACATGATCTTGAAAACCTGTGGGTTATTCGCGTGGGCGGGTTATTTGCGTGGGCAGGCTATATGGGTGAAAATACGGTACTGTATACTAACCTTTTAAAAAACTTTTTGTGATTTAAAAATCTCTGTTATTATCAAAGGTCATATTTGTCTGCAGCAGGAAAAATTACTGTCCTGTATATTTTTAGGTGTTTGAAATGCTTATTAATCCTGGAGATAACATTCTTTTGGATGCCCCAACCTATCCTGGAACATTAGCTGCTGTAAGTATTCCACAGATCTGGAAGACTGTGATGCTAAAAACATATAATGTTTCCTTCTACGTATGGCTTCCATTTATACCAGGCAATTTCTTAGATTTTTGCTGAACAAGGAAAGAAGGGGGGGAAATTATTTCCAGTAAATTGATTTCCAAATTACCGGTAATTTAATTTGCATTTCCTGAACTAACCTTAAAATGGTGAATAAGTATCCTTCAGTTTTGTAGCTTTTCCTATTCTATAACATGATTCCCCCCCCCCAAAAAAAAACAACTATGAAGAGGTTTGTAATTTGGTAAACCATTTAGTAATAGGAAAGAGCATGCAAAAATTAGAAAAAGTTGACAATATATTTCTTGCAGTGTTTTTTCATTATACAATTCAAATAAAATGTAAAATTCATTTATAACTTAATAAATGGATGACTACTTGGTATAGAAAAAGAAAAAAATTCTTTAAACTTTTGCTGTGATTGTTTACACATTTTATTTTTCTTTAATCACTCCATTAATATTATTGAAATTATGATCTTATTGCTAGATATATGAGACAGACGTCATTTCTTTTATTGAGGTAAATTATTCATGTTTCACCCGGTCAGAGATGAGAGGAAGATAGTAACAGCCTTCCCTAATACTTCTACCACTACTTCCAACCAGTATAGCTACATTTTAACTGAGAAGCCTGGGGATTGTAGTCTCAGCATACTGGTAGCATACCAGACTGGGAGAAATGGAAGTAGGAGCCTTCCTATACATTTCAAAGGAACAAATTTGAATGTTTGTGCATCTGTATCCAATCCTGATTATCTAATGATCTCATACAGTGCACATAATGTTATAATTTACATAATGACATCTTTAATACATGCTTAAATATATCATATAATATTAAATATGATGTAGGAAACCCATTTAACATATTATAGTAGCATATATGATGTAACCAGGTCACATTGACATTGCATACAAATAAAAACAGGGAGACTTCAGCTACAATGCCACAACTTCCGTCTTGTTTTGAACTGCCCCTGCAGACATCATTGTGTGCATATAATGTAATTCTCAAAATTAAAAAGCTGACCTGTTCCATATAAACAATGTCCTGCATAATGAATATCATCACACAGACTTCCGTTCCCAGAATTTCTACTCAGCAATCTCAACATATTTGGAGAAGGCCAAATATGTCTTATTTGGATAAGACTAATATAAACTAACTTCATATAACCTTTGCCTAACCAGATTCCACACTAAATCGCAATAGGAAAAATATATATCAGAGTTGAGCAATTTTTCTAATGTTTTAAGATTATTATACAATTGTATCACAGCGGCCAGTTGTTTCGCCGGATTTGGCATTGATTACTAGTCGGGCCCCACTCAGGAGCCTAGGACGTCATAATGTATTTTTGTAATATGCGTGCAGATCCAAGCAGTGTGGCTTTTTGCATTTGACTGATAGTGATTTTGTCAATTTTTAACTATTTTAAATGTAATTCCAATGCTTTTGGAATAGCACCCAGTGTGCCAATTACCACTGGAATTACCACTGCTGGTTTGTGCCATAATCGTTGAATTT